TTGTGTTAATTGCGAAATTATACGTTTGGGCATTTGTCGGAGTTAGGCGATAAATATCGCCAGGCTGCCGCAGTTGGTAGCGTGTCGAGTGCGTTTTACTTTTTTGTAGGTTGCCAATCCGTGCCGACCACCTGTTTCGGAGTTGCTGCTGCTACCGTTCTCCACGGCTGAATGCTGATGACGGCCGATGAGCTTCAGTGCGGCACGGCCCGTCCGCTGACAAAGTTCAGCTCCGGTTAATTGAATGCCCGGATTTCGATGCCATTCAAAGCTGGATTTGCCGCGCTTCGTTGAACTCTCGCAGTACTAGGTGACAAAATTTTGTTACCGACCGAGTTCTATCGTAAAAGCGCTGGTTACCCGATTTCTACGAAACGTACTCTAATTACGGAGACATTTTCGTTCATCGTAACAACGTTACTTTTTGCTATTCATGTTTTATGTGTTCGTTTCATGATTGGGCTTTTAAAACCACTTTGTATCGTAGTTGCTTTTGGTATTGAATCTTCGATAAAAAAAAAATTTTGTAAAATGTATTTATTCCAAAACGTTGATGGTAAAGTATGTGGTGGTCGTCGTAAATTTTTCTAGAAATTGAATACTCGGCCTCACCGTATCTATCCATCCGCATCTAAGTCCACAACGCCTCTGAGCGCCGGAGATCGGGTTGATTTATGCAAATTGCAGACTGCCTTGATACATATCGAGACCAGGTGGGCACGCATAAACGGAAAATTCTCTCGGCTGAGGCGACGTCCGAATACTTCCACATAGAACCTACTAATTGCGAACACCGTAGGCTACACCGAGTGAAGAGTAATACAACGGCGACTTTGAAAATAAAAATATAAAGAAGGAACACGACCACCAATGGCTGGAGTAACATAAAAATTCGTGCTGCCGCAATTAGATGGCGAATTTTTAGACTCGGAATGTGAAAATGCCAGGATGCAACGGCTACTTTTTATTCGCTGTGCGAAATGTTTTTTGTTTTGGCGGCCTTAAATTTTCACGCTCTGTTGAATTACAAGCACTGCTCAAGTTTGTCGCACTGATTAATATTTATCCAAAGAACTGCGATCTTATAAATTCACCAAGGACAATATGTTGCTATATTTAGACTTCGTACCAAATCGATGATTATTTATTTAGTCTGGCGCAATCAACCAAATGAAATGAATCATAAATAAATTAAACATTTCTTCAGCCTAAATAAATCGTTTTTCAATCTTAATATACTTTGAAGTGAATGATATCGATGGTGGAGTTAAATGGCCAATTAGTATAGGTTTCTCGTGAAACCCAACGTGAACAGTCAAAGTTCACCTGTGTTCCCAAAGTAGGCGTACGGCATGTATTTATGGATTCCGGTGTAATTTACAGTGACGTGGTCGAAAGTGGGCAGAAAATTTAAGAGAAAGCTGACGATCTCGCTGAAATATATACAGGTTAGGCTTTCGGCGAAATTTCTAAACTTACCGGAATGTCCCCTACGTGTCACGATTCTGGTTGGTTTCGCTATTCGACCAAGGAACAGAGTATTAGCTAGCGAAGTTTCTAATTGCACGTGCCACCGGCGGCTCAAATTGTGCTCGGTCAAATTACGATTTAGCGAATCTACTGATTCCTCCCCATTGAAATTCGAAACATAAGACATAAAGTCTACATACATCCCAGAAAATGATAATATCTCAGCTCCTGAAATGTAATTCAATGAATTTTTTAATTGAAGGATATTAGAAGTCTATGTTATTTTAATACAAACTCGAAACAGTTCGACGTATGCTACGAAGTGAAGCAGCAGTAGATTTAGTCGTACGTCTCTCAAGACGGCTAAACTTGAATTATTTTAGTTCTAGGTCTTGTGTTAGTTCTAGTGATAGTGCAAAACTAGAACTAACACTAGATCTAGAACTAGAAACATTGGGATTTATCCGCACGTCTCTCAAGCAAACGTGAGGTTGAGACAAACAGATAGATAAACAAAAATAACACATTTTCCAGCACAGTTTTAAGCTAATACGTTCATTCTCACAAATGCGAATAGAGATCCAACTCAAGGTTTTCAATGTTTTAGCTCTCGTGATGGCCAGGGGCGGCCGATGTCTTCGAAAACAGCCGGGTTGGTACTCGAAAATGATGTTGAGGATTCTTAATAACACTTTTCAAACACAACCTAACCTCACTTTTTCAAATGACATTTTTTTGACGTTACATTAAAAAAATTTATTTAACTCACTCAATTTTAGAAATAAAACTAAAAAGAAATTTGCGTCATAGAAGCTTGTTTTAGTCACACGTACACATTTACGTTATAAAAAAAATTAAATAGTAATTTGCTTTCTAGTGGCTTTAAATTTTGTTAGAATATTTGACATGATGAGAAGATAGTTAGCAACGTACATTTTTAGAGTTTTTCCGACAGATGGCGCTGTCTCCTATGCGTTTTTAGTTTTTATCAAGTGTCATTTTTTGACGTTTCGTTAAAAAGAATTTATTTTAACTGATTTTGCGATAGAAATAAAACTAAAACTAGAAGTTTTAGTCTCAAAATGTTTCTTATTTCATCGGCAGTAACGGTTGTGAAAAATGTTACTTGAAAAAGTGAGGTTACGTTGGGTTGAGTGCGTATTCCGTATCTGGTTTCGATACTTTCTAGTTCTAGGTTAGTGTTAGTTTTAGTTCAATAAAAATATACAACATAGTGATATCTTATGCTAATTAGCGCTATTTACCACTGTCTCTAGAACTAACATTAGACCTAGAACTAGAAACATTCGGGCTTAGCTGCACGTCTCTCAAGACTGCTAAACCCGAATTCTTCTAGTTCTAGGTCTTGTGTTAGTTCTAGTGATAGTCTTAGTGTAAAACTAGAACTAGATACTTTCTAGTTCTAGGTCTAGTGTTAGTTCTAGTTTTAGTTCAATAAAAACATGCAATATAATGATATCTTATGCTAACTACGCTACTTACCACTGTCTCTAGAACTAACATTACACCTAAAAATAGAAACATTCAGGTTTAGCCGTTTTAAGAGATGCACGGCTAAACGAAATGTTTCTAGTTGCACGTCTAGTGCTAGTGTTAGTCTAGTTTTATTTTTTATTCAGCGCTAGATAGTTGTATATTTTTATTGAGCTACAACGGACATTGATAGACTTTTTTTTTTAGGACTGTATGTAGACTTTTTGAGTTAAAGATATGATTATGTTTTGTGTTTCCCTTGATTAATAATAACTTATACAGTTTTTATGTAAAATACGGAAATAATATGAACTTCTTACATGTTTTGTTAAAAAATTTCATTGACTTTATTGTAGGTTAATCTTGTCTCAAAATTCAAAGTAACTATAAGTTTTTGGTATACTGTATGATCTGTTACATAATGCTTATTATGGAAAACAAAGCCATTTGGTAGTGGGGTATTAAAAGCAGGGACATGGCTCGTTTGCACGAACAAAGGCTAAAATAACGATGACTAATGGATAGAGATTGGAAACCTTAATTTTGTCGCAAGCGGCATCCGATTACCGGTTTTGGCACGCCACAAAACGACAGAAATCGCACGTGCACGGTACACGCGCCCTCGAGGTTTTGTTTTCACTAACAAGCAAGAAAACGCCTCGTCGACAGCTTCTATAATTTCGCCGTAAAACTTAGTTTCGGCGAACTTATTATTTTATAACGCTGCGCTAACTGCACACCGATACTACATAAAATATTGAAATTGCTACACAACAATTTTCTAATATAGAAATATAAAATAGTTAACAGTAAATTGCCAACACTTATAATTTAATAACTAACTTATTAACTACATGGAGAGGTAATTGTCCAATAAAACGTTCGGTCTATTCTAAAATACGTCCTTAGAGCAAGCAGCCCGACAATTAAACGAAACTCAAACTCGACGTTCGCAAAATTGGGTCAATGCGAAACATAAGCGGGAGAGAGAGGTCGATGAGAGGAATCCGAATATTTCCTTGTCGCTCTCGTTGGAACCAAGCCAGGCTTCGTATGGACGTGCACGCGTTCTACCGACACTTTCGTGTATGTAGATCATGATTGTGGGAAATATTTCGCGGACTTCCAGTGGCGTCGCGGAGGAGGGGACGCGAATTTACCGACCGGTATTTGTCGAGAAAGTTCGTATAACTCTCCTTCTCTCTCTATATCTCTTCAAATGCACGTTCCGTTTGACCAAATTGTAATGTGGGTCACTCTGTGTATGCAGGCTCCTTCATGTCGCGATGATCATTATTGACGTAACAGATGGTCTTATGAGACTAACACAATGCAACTTCTTTCTCGATTTAAAATATATTATTTGATTAATTTGAAATGTTAAATTCGGTTCGGCTTTCTAATTCTTATCGTTTTCTGAAAAAAAAAAAAAAAAACTTATTTTCCTCCTGGGAAACTTGAATGTTCTAGATTTAGCCCCGTATTCATCTAGCGTAATTGGCCGATTAAAATTTATAAACCTGCGTGTCGACGAGGAGTAAACGCGAATAGAGGAAGTTCACGGTTTGGTTGCCATTTTGGTCATATTCCGTCGCCGGAATATGATCATCACTATTCGGCGCGCGGATGACTCGAGTATGGCGGTGGTTCCGCTTGTAAGGCTGCGAGCGATTCGTAACGCGGATTTCGAGTGGAAAAGAACCGGGCCGGCCGCTTTTGGAGCGAATAGAACCGTGAAGGAAATCAAGGCCCCCATTGGGGGCCCGCGAACAAAGAAATAGTTGCCCGGTTGTACCGCTGCTGCCGCGTGACGAATCCGCAAAATATCCTTTCCTTTTATTTTTATCGTACTTCGAGGTTACTCGCGAATATTCAACTGATGGCAAACACTTTTTTCTCAAGAGAGAAATTTTAATCGAAATTAATATTGATTCTAATTGATGTATTTAAATTAGATTGCGGTTTTTCATTAATAACCTTAATAATAACGTAAATTTCAAAGTTTTTCAATGTTTGTTTTCTTTTTTTGTAATTAGGGTTGGAAAGGATAGCTGAAGAGCTGATGGGTCGCAGGAAATGGAAACTATACCAAGAGTCTATGTCAAGGAACTATCTGCAGCCGCTAAACAACAACGTAAAGAGAGCGAACGATACGGATCCGGGTACAGCGATCCTGCACCGAGACGCGTCCAGTCCAGACTCGAAGGACCTGGTGAAGGTCGCGAACAGCGTCCACAAGACGCCGGAAGACCATCAAATCGTTGCCGCCCCCGCTGCCGTTGTCTTCGCCACGCCGCCTACAGAGAACGGAACGTCGCGTTCTGGTGGCGAAAATCCTACGGCATCATTACCATTAGAAAACGGCGATATCTCAGCATCCGACACCGGCACCTCCGCCAAAATTACAGCGGATATCATCAAAAAGGAGGAGCCGCTGTTAGAGGCGCCCTCCACAGAGGTTCCGCAGGACGCGGAAGACCAAATAAAAGATTGGTCGCCGCAGAGCAAGTGTTACTTCTGCGTCGACGGCAAACTGGATAGTGAACATAATAATCACGGGGGTTTGGTAAGTGTTGTTTTAGGAAAAAATATAATTCATAATCACGAATAAAAAAAATTACCGAGGGAAGTAATGAAGCATGTACACACTACACTAGAACACAGTATGTAGGGGATGACCTTTGTACTCAGTGGGTCGTGAGGTATATTGGTCTGTTGAACAGTAGGCGCGAGACTTGCACTGTGTCGTTGCACACCCCCAATATCGCATTTAGCACGTCGGGTGCGACATATAGGATGTAGCGTGGCGTGTAGGAACACGTGGTCCACTCGGGCACAATGTATTTTTAAGTTGCCTTTTTGATCCATCAACCGTGAAACCGGCGTTAACGCGGCACATGTCGACCTTTCTCGATAGCCCACACTTATTTCCTTCGCCTGCTAAGGCCCCCTGGTCGATCGAAAGTGGACCACTTTACCCCGTCGAGCTGGGTCAACATGGCTTTTAACTTAAACTAACTGACAGATGATGTTGTTTCATTCCCAATAATCTCAAGCATTCATATATTTTCGATTTGTTTGTTTGCAACTAGCACTTATAACGAAACATTTGAAGCACTTCTGTTAAATAAAATTGTTATTTGACATTTTGGATAATTAAAAAGAGGCAAATAACCCAGAAAGCACAGTGGCTAGGAAAGAATTTAATGGAGCGTGGCAAATGTCAATGCGGTATTAGAAAGGTCGCGAGTTAATTTACAATTAACAAATAAAAAAATATTAAATGATATCAAAAAGTAAAAGGTAATATTTATCGTTCTATTTACGTGAGTATTTTCTGTTGGTTATTCAGTTCCATAAATTACCAAGGCCATAAAACTAGACATGCGCGCAAATGTTGCACGTTAAATTTATGTGACGTCTTCAGACATAAATAAATATATGTGTGTGTCATCTGTTGAGCCAATAAATGTAGTAACTCTTTGGTTGTTAACTAGAATGCCAATAACGATGGCAAACCGTACGAATGTAATCATATGTAAAAAGTGGAGTAGGAGATCGCCAATTGAACAGTTAGAGGCGTTCAATGGAACTTATTATGGGCATATAGAAGACCCGTTCGTTTTCTGCTACTGATTAGACCAGATGGTGTGGGTGTTATGAACACCTTTCTGCAAAGTTATGCGAAAAAGTATGAACGCTCTACTTCCTAACACCGTTACATCAACATTTTGCCTATTATCTCTATAAACAAATTTTAATATTTACCTAAATGAGCTGAAATTAATTATGAAGGTCACAATTTACGTTATTATTGTAGGGGCCTTCAAGTAAGTATACAGATTCGTATTAAAATTTAAAAAAGTCCACGTTTTAACAGCTGTTCCAGCGAAGCAAGTTCGTGAATAATAGCAGCAAAGACTCTCTTGCACACGGTGTGCAGGTAACGCAGAGCGAGCGCAATAATTAAATAATTACGCCTACGAAGGCAGGAAAAAGAAAAAACCTACCACGCACAATGCGAATCACGAAGGTCCGGAGTGGAAGGAATTGCGTTCTGCAATTGCGGTGGTTAACTTCGAGGTCTTTAATAATAAACACTTTACGTGAGTGCACCATCTCCATTTCCTCCTTCCATCGTCGTCCCCCTTTCTGTTTACTCGAATGGATAAATTTTACTGTAATTTTAAGTAACGTAAAAAAAATTTATGTTATAGTGAAAAATATTTAATAAAATTAAATTCTATGGAAAGAGAATGGATATGGCTCGCCCACAGATATGAATAAAATTGCTAAACTTGCGAATAAATGTTCACACCTATTGCAAAATGAACCACGGATTAAAATATGTACACACCGACGCCTTTCAAGAGGCGAACGTGATTTAATTATTCCCGTAACCTTTTCGCATGACAGCGTTAAAAATAAGAGATCCCGCAATAAATAAATCTTCCTTCTACAATTTGTTAGATAATCGTTTATAACCCACCCAATGCGTTACAGATTTTTTTTTCAAATAATAGTTCTCAAAGGAATGTCCGAAGAGCGTAACTTAATCTTTAACAGCGCTATTCAGATTTTATATCATAAAAATCTAGTATCTCTATCTTCTGATGCTCTTTTCCAGATTCCAGCTACTAATATGTTCCTGACATCATTCCGCACCTCACCCCCATTTTGTTCTGGGTTTCTAAACCGATCTCTTACCTCCAAAGACTTAAATAGTCAAAAGATCTGCAACTGCACCTCATAAAACCTAGGCTACTTGTAGCCGAGACGCTACAACATGATAACTAATTTCGAGGCAAGCGGCATAGGGTTAATTGGTTAAAAGATCTACAATTTCACTTCAAAAAGCCGAAGTCACTTGCGACTTGTATCAGGTTAATATATTAAACACTGCGCCTCGGCCGCAAGTGGTCACGGCTTAATTAATTAGAAGATCTACAAATTTATCTCTTCATCTGATAAAGCTGAAGTGCTACAACATGAGCCTTTTCAGCGTTGGTACGTGTGCTGTGGCGAATACGAATGGACGTTCTGTTCTGGTTGTTAGTGCCCCTTTTTCAATGCGTGTTGAAATTTGGATCATTTAGGCAATGTTGAGATACTCACCGTTTTAAATTTATTTAAAAATTTATGTTAGAAAAAATATAAACTCGAGTGAAGCTACAAAAAGGAATGCGTTATGTAACGGCATTTTGCGCAGTTAAAATGTCAAATTTAACATAAACGAAAAATGTCAGCATCGTTTATCGTATGCTGCTGCCACTGCCACCATGGAATTTCAGATTATGTAACTTTGTCCGTTACAATACAATCACGATTATAAGCATTATTGAGTATTTTAGTGGATTAATAATATTAAGCTTATTATAACAATACCACTTTAAGAAGTTTAAGGTATCTCTTGTCATAAACAGATGTTACGTAATATTACATCAAATTAAGAGACGAATTGCGTTGTAGGTGATGATCCGTCGATAATTACAAATTTTATGCTTTTCGAATTGTCTGTAACGGTAATACTGACATATCAGGTTAAATGAGTATACCTATACCAGTTTAACGAGCATTTTAAGACCCGTAATTGAACTATTGCAAAAGCTGTAATAAACTAAATTGCTCTTGATGTCGTCAATACGTTAAAAGATCACAAAATAATCAGATATAAGTTAATTATTAAGTTTATTGCGTTAATATATTAGTAAAAGTTGAAAGTAGAAGATAAATCTAAGTTATTTGAAGAGGAAGTAAAAAAAAACTTGATGAAATAGCTTGGCCTATCTAGAATTAAAACATGCGCCTTCGAAGTCTTCTTCCTGCTTGAAGACGATTACTCAGGTCGACATATCGCAATCCAAACGCCAGGTGTTTAACGCGCTGATTGCTCTCGAACATGTGCTTAAATAACCAGTATTTTACTTGGTTTTAAAACGTACCGTCCCCGAGATACGGTTTAATTGGTTACCTAAGTTATGGTAGTTGACTTGAAAACTTTACAATGTCCTCCAATCTCGTCCAATCATTGAATAGGATCGAATTAGATTTGCGATCCATTAAAACGTCGAAATAGATCGGTCATTTACTAAAGATGCCTAAGGCTGCGTTATTATTGCGGTGAGTCATCAAAGATGGAAAGATCCAGTTTAAAAAATATCGAGGAGATTGTAGTTTAATTTACGGAATGACTGGAGAGTTAGTACCAAATACAAACTTGTGTTTCGTTTTCGACGAGATGGTGAGGGTGAGCAATTTGTGCTGGAAAAACAATTAGCGCGAATTCGCTTATCGACTTCGTTCAATTACCCAAATTTGTATATCGACGTGGGCCAGCCAGCCGACCGACGACTTGTGTAATTATTGACTTATCGTAAATTGCGAATTTGAACAATCGTTTTCCACGTTGGTTGTTCGTCCGGTCGACAGCATTTTTGGTCCTCGCTACTGACGAAAACAATATTATGACCGTTTGTTCGGTTTTACGATTTTAATGGGCCATTTAAATTTTCGTTGATTGATTGTCTCGTATGTTATTATTCTCCTATCGAAATGAAAGTCATTTATTTTTAGTGACTTTGATTTGTTTTAATTTCACGATTGTTTTCGGTTTATTGATTGTAATTCTTTTTTTTTGTTCACGTTTTAAAGAAAATTTACAATCAAATTCTCTTTTATCACTAAGTTACTACATTGCAATACCTAATGAATGTCAAATCGAAGACTCAACCTAATTTGAGATAAATCATTTTATACATGTACCATTTTTTCCATAATTTATTAATTTTACATTCAAGGTCATTTATTAAATAAAATTTTGTAGTATAAATGAGACGTATACATATTATTGTCGATGTTAATCTTCACAGCTTAACACAGTATCAATTATCATGCTAAATAGTATTCAAATGAAATCACTTCTGTCAGTAAGCAATCCTTTGTCCAGTGTGACTGCGTCGTTTGTCCACTTTATGCCGAGTCAGGTATACAACGGTGGCAGCACCCAGCAGCTTAACTGAATTAATTATTGCTGTTAATAAAAACGCGTGCGGACCCGGTACTTCCAATCACGATTTTCAATATATTATTTTCTCCCACGTGTTCGAGTAAAATCGCGAGTTACGTTGATTGCAAGTCGTAGATTATCAACATTTTTTTATGGTACACCGAGAATGTCGCAATCATTTCAATTAAATGCACGGCTGTTGCTCCCCGAAAGCGTAAAGTAAATCGCGACAAAATCCGTACCATGTTGGTTGAAATTAACAACGGTGAGTAGGCAGTTTAGAAGAGACGTGTCCCAATTTGAATTAACATCAACTTTTATATTGAGCAAGTTAGAATATCTAAAACTTAATCCAATCCTTTCTTATATTCTCTTAGATTTATATCTTTTATGCACCAATTAATGCAAAAGGTATGGGTTGGGCGCATGTAACGGCCTTGTCCTGCACTAGCAACGTTTCGTTAAGATAGATATATACAATATAAGTGCGGATACACCTTAATCTATTAAGATTTCGAAATAATCGTCAAGCTCTATTTCCCGATTAGATTGCTTCTATGTATGTTTGTTTTGTTGGCCTCGGAAAATCCATGACATTTCTACGTGAAAAGCACTTCATCTTCCACGCTGAATAATTATCCTTTAAATTTTATTTCGCAATTAAATTTTTTTTAATCTATAACCCGCACATAACATAAATGTTGTGGAAACCAGTCCATTTTCGATAAGTATAAAATTTTCCCATTTCTCAAACTTTATCGTACAAAAAGCACTTAAAAACACTTTAGGGTTTCCCGTGAAAATGGCACGGTATGATAATGAAGGCATTCCATCATTATCGCAAAGTTCCTGTGTTAAACAATCAAACCGCATTGCGGACCGTTTCGAAATCGGAACGTTTTTGTAGCCGCCTCAGCGAATCGGAAAAGATCATCAACTCGATCGTTTACCGGCATTTTCGTAGAACGTATAGCGCAAATTCAAGTGTAATATGGCGTGTGTTACACCAAGCATTTAGGGACTGGTCGTAAATCGTCGTACCATTACCATATTCACGCATATAAACACGTGTCAATTTCAATAATGGTGGACTCCTGCGGCCACTCCTCAAAAGCTTCGTAGATTTTCGCACGGTGAAGAAGTGTTTCTGCAAAAATTGAACGTTTCGGTCGCCCACATAAACTTTCGAAACACCCTCCAGGTGTCTGTCGACAGGTGAATGAGAAATCGCGAGTCGTGTAGTCATAAACGCTTTCGTGCTCTATTATCGAGTGAAAATGCTTAAAGTTCATGGTAAAGATTCTATGGGGTCAAACAAGCACATACAATTTCTATTACTATGTTTATACATATATACAGTGCTAGCATAAAGTAATTTTGCTTCTTTTCTATCGTTGAATTCTACCCGACCAAGTATAACCAAAGAAAGGCGAGAACAAAATGGTTAGAAGGAGTTTAGAGCACAGAATCGAAGCGATTTTAATATTCGCTCGTGCTGACATAAATCTACTTAATGAATGTTAAGTTTTTGGAAACTGGAAGACCGCAAAAGAACTGGTTGTCCTTCGATTTTTGAAGACACACAAGTGCAGATATTAACAGAAGTAGTTAATGCGCCCATGATGTCGTTTGCTGCTATCGTATCAACGTGTGATTTGAGATAAATATCATCCATATAAAATTAAAATGCTTAATGAATTAACAGAAGATGACTCTGATAGAAGAACAGAATTTTGTGAGCTAATGACAAATATGGTTGAACGAAATCCATCATACTTGAAACATATTTGTTTCAGAGATGAATGTGTTTTCTTTTTGGATGGAAAATTGCATCAGGAAAATGTACGTTACTGGAATGATGTTAATCCACATCAATATTGCGAAGTTAACACTCAGTTTCCCAAGAACATAAATATTAGGGCTGGCATATTGGGAAATCACATCGTGGGACCAATATTCTTAACCGAGATATTAATCCAAGACTTTTGCAAATTGTACAACAGAATCCTGACTATTTTGAAATGGAATTAGTGTTTCATCAAGATCCGTGGACGATTAAATGGCCAGCAAAATCACCAAATCTGACACCTTTAGATTTCTTTTTATGGGGTTATTTAAAATCCAAGGTAAATGCAATTTCTATGGACAGTATTGAGGATTTAAAACGAAAAATTATAGACGTCTGATAAAATATTGACTTACGCTAGCACTTTATTCTAACTATATACAGGTAAACGTCGTTTTGCGCCGGTTCGGTTTACGCCGATTCACAATTACGCCGGTTGGTGCCGGCGTGGGATTCCCCGGTTCGCCTGACATCAGACGACAATAAAAAAATATAGAGAAAATGGAAAAAATGTTGGCATTGTGGGTTGATGATGCCNCCGATTCATAATTACGCCGGTTGGTGCCGGCGTGGGATTCCCCGGTTCGCCTGACATCAGACGACAATAAAAAAATATAGAGAAAATGGAAAAAATGTTGGCATTGTGGGTTGATGATGCCAATCAAAAGAATATTCCTGTAACACTAGCAATCATATGCGAAAAAGCACAGTTGATTTTTCTGATTTGAAGGCGCAAGAAATCACTGACGAAACTTTCTTGGCAAGCACTGGGTGCTTCACGAGATTCAAATCTCGAACCAATATCCGTTTAAACCTCGAGCGGCGAGTGCTGGTGTAGAAGCAGCAGCAGCTTACCTTTAAAAGTTGCAAGAAATTGTGGAACAAGGGAACTATCCTGCAGATCTCATCTTCAATTTTGATGAATAGGGCCTCTATTGGAAGAAGTTGCCATCGAGAACATTTATTTCGCGAGAAGAACGTAGTGCTCGTGGATTTAAAGCCGCCAAGGATAGACTGACTGTTCTCTTGGAATCAAATATTTCTGGTTCTTTAAAATTTAAGCCAATGGTAGTGTATCATTCCCAGAATCCACGGGCTTTTAGAGGTCTTGACAAAAGCTAAGAGGGACGAAGTGACAAACAATTGTTTAAACGGCGTTTGGTGTAAACTTCTTCCTGGATTTATACAAGGTGCAAGTGTAGAAGTGGTAAATAACATTAACATAAACGAAGACATTCACAAGTTTACACGCGAATGTGGATTCGAAGACGTAACAACTGAAGATGTGACCGGACTGTTAGACGTGCATGAATAACCAATCTCAAATCAAGAATTAGAAGAGTTGATGGAGGCATATGATCGCCCTCAATCAGAAAATCCCGAAGAAGAAGAAGAGGATGAGAAAGAAAATCCTAAAAACCGACTATCTAACTCGTATCCTTTCCTCTATAGAAAGGTTAACAGGTGAGCTCTGTGACATAGATAGGGATTACAATCGAAGCGCAAATGTTAAAAGAAGTGTCATAGCTGCCCTTCGACCTTATGTTATGATTCTGCAAGAAAGGAAGCAACAATCAAGGCAAATGAAACTGGATTTTTGGATTTATTTCAAAAAATTTATTATTTATATCAAGAGATTATTATTTATTTTGAATATATATAGGATATGTATTAAATAAACATAACAGGAACCTAACCTTATACTGTCCATTATATTTGTGTTCATTTTACGCCGATTTTGTTTACGCCGGTGTTTCTCGGAACAGAACCCCGGCGTAAAACGACGTTTCCCTGTATCTCATTTAATTTTTGCGTAAAGGTTTTTAGAAAAATAAATAAAAATAATTTTTTTTGTTATAATATTTATGGAGTACGAAATCCATCAATATGAAAGGATTACAACTGCATGTATATATGTATCTTTTTTTAATGGATTTTATTTTCTATTACTCTATGATGTACAAAAAAAGCTGTGCGATTTGTTATACATCTAATTATCTGCCCACGCTAGTTAAATACCCACACCCAATGGTTGTTCGAATCACGTTTTACGATTGGTCAAGGTGTCGTACGTCTTCATTCTCGGCGTCTCTAAAAGCGATCGTCTCGTCTTCGTGCCGTGAAAAACGACCTGACCGGACGTCCATTACCGGGAACGGGTTTCCAACAGTCGTGACCGCTCTATTAGGGCAAGACCGCGCGGCGCTATACGCGCCAATTTGCATATAATATAATAAATTTACTAGAAGATGGATCGCGGACATCGGCGGCACCATTAGAGACGGCTTTATGGCCCGTGTCAGCCGCTTGCCCAGTTTTCCTCCTTTCCAAAGAGGCTTGTTAATGCAAACGATAGCGAAACGGGAGAATATTTGCTGCTTCTATATACTGGTTTAATGTAAACGTTGCTTTAAACGAGCAAATAAAGCTATTAAACGAGATGTTATTAGACGTTAAATAGATGTTTTGTCGAATCTTAACAAATTGTTCACCAATTAATTGCAAATACAAGGCGCGTCAAAGATTTATTACTAAATCTACAGATTGATGTATTCTTCTATTTGTTCGAACCATACATATTTATTTTAAAGTTTTCACCATAGTCAATTATACCTCTACGTCTTAATAAGAGATTTCTGTAAATGTTTGTATCTTCGTGCTGTTAATACGCCTCTTTCATTCGGGACAAAATCAGTGTGTGCCTCAAAGAAATTCTTGTCATTACTGAACCACCCCCAAAATCAACTCGAACGCTTATGCGTCCTCCATCACTTTGTCCTTCCATCGTTTTCATCGCCGCCTCCCACTTGGTTTCTTGGCGTGCATTGTGCTGCTTAAGAGCCTTTTTGACATTCTATCCTCGATAATTCGTATCATATTGCAGTCTTTGTAATCTGACGCTATAAATTTTACCTTATAAATTGTTCATAATACAAAATATTTTGTTGTAAAAACCCATTACGTATTGATAAAATGATATTAGAATTTTACTTTTAAACTTTACATTCTCATTAATATTTATGGTATTAAAATGTCTTTATAAGATTAACACCTTTGGTGACTTCTAGCCAAACCAGTTATACATGTCGTTACATAAAATATCTAGCTCATCGGATAAACCATTTATGCTGCTTTACAACAACATAAATGTAAGGAATGACACACATTTAATAAGAATTTACTACATCCACTCCTTATTAAATTATCAATCTTGCGTTATTTATGTACCTATATGATCTAAAATATCTGCTTAACTAGTCCATAACTTAATATAATTATTTTATTTGTTTTTTTAGAGTCCCCGTCATTCGGATTCAGATTCAAGCGATAGTAGAAGCGACGCAGAACCGCCAACGTTGAGTCCAGCAGCGTTTCCAAATAATCGACAGCGTCACCACGGGTCCCATAGGAACATGACCAGCGTCGAACAGAATATGGCTGTAATAGCGGCCGTCACAAACGCCATAAATTCCGGGTCGCCGATGCCGCACCTAGCCCTTTACCCTCAGTTCTATCCATTCATGGGTCAGAACGCGGCTTCGGCTGCCGACGGGGCCGAGGAAAAGACGGGCGAGGAGCCGCTGGATCTCAGCTCGAAATCGAGCAACAACGGGACGGACAAGATGCGCATCCTCGACCCGAAGCTCTTTAGGTAAGTCGAGAGGTCGCCAAAGGCTCGACACCACGACGGCCTCTTCATTCTATTTATGTCGCTTCGGTGGAGGTTTCGGCTCTGCAAGAACTTTACGAAGAAATTTTACTGGTAATGTTCAATCGCTGATTGACACTGTTTAGAATTTCCTTCCTTTATTTCTCTTTTTTATTCATTTCTTGCGCTGATTGTTATTTACATTAATTTATTTACGCACGTTAGCTTTAGATTTATTTAATTTTTCAACATATCAAACTCAAATAAACAACATTAAGAGTGAGTTAAAAGAAAAAATTTTGTGGTAAATAAAGAGAAATATTTTTTAAAACCAAGTTAACACTTATCAGGGTGACTTGATGAAGTCAATAAAAACTAAAAGTACTTGCACACACAGACTTACTTTTCGTAGATATTTTTCAATTGTACACACACATATAGTTACATAGAATTGAGCGATACGGTAAATATTTGCCGATCGCGCCGTTCTTCAAAGTAAACATTGTGTAAAAGTTGATGGTTAAAAGCTATATCAGGTGATCTATTGCTATATAAACTAAACTTGTATCGGATTTTAATTATAATTGGGATTTCATCTTAAAATAAAACTTGACAAATTTAATTATTTTCCGGATTAATTAAGTATTTTCGAGATAATCTCTCATGTCTTCGACCGCAGTAATTTGTACTGAAAGAAAATTTCCGTGCGATAACGCACGCAACAATTAAAAAGTCGTGCGCGCCACGACTAAACAAAAGATAATAATTCATGGCTACAAATGAAGCGATACGTATCATCATCAACAGAGTCGCCCGCGTTAAATCGGAAGTGCTTTTGTCGTTGACGACGTCGAAATGGAGAGAAAAACAATACAACTGTACTAATAAGTTAAATGAACTCGTTCGGGCGCGTTCCTTCTTAATCTTGTAGGCTCCCCGGGGTCAAGCACTGTTGCCGTTCAAAGGCCCAATGGTGCGGGGGGTTCACCGTACTCGACAAACGACGAAAACAAACCCGAGCATTGAAAATAGCAAAAGACGAACGACAAATAATTTTATCGGTCAAACCCGGGAGTTATCGCAATTTTTACCGTCTCTGAAATTCCGTGTATTCTCGCTGTGTATTAAATACAGCCGAGTAAACAATTATTCTTATTGTACACGTGTACAATAAATTAGTGTACAATTAATATTTAAAGGTATTGTTTAATAATATAAAGTTAATAATCCTTTTTATTTCTAAGCGACGAATTTTAATACTTAGAAATATTTAATTTATTTAGAATAATTTCTTATCATACTCGACACTTTTTTTTTAATCGATTTTACACTGAATATTAGATTTATAGTAGTGGTGGAACAGATATCCGGCAACTATCCGGATATTAAAAACCTATTACTTAGTACATACACAGGAATTAGTATCTTTTTTAGGTGTTGGACACTTCAGATAATAATTAAGTTCAACCCCAATAGGACCTTTTTCATTTAATACAACTTTATTTATTTCTGGTTTGTTATTAGCAGCCTCATGTAACAATCCCAATACGATATATAAAATCTGTTTGTTCGCTTGTAATTCATCATCACATTCATTACTAACAGAACTGTCGCTGTTATCATTTGCAGTTGCTTCGTTTGTTAAATCTGCATAAAAAAAGTTCATTTTGTATCTTCGATCCAAATAAGTTGACATATCTTATCGGCTTTCTTATTAATTTCATTTTTATGCAAATATCGCAATAATATGGCAATATAGGGTACCACTTCAGAAATGCACCAGAAATTAAACCATAATGTCCGGATAGATATGCCGGATATCCGGCCGAATATCCAGCTTTTCGCAAAATCACTATTCGTTCCATCACTAATTTATAGATATTAGGGTTAAAAATAATATGGATATGTTGGAGTGTAGGCGATAAGTTCTTGGGAAGAACTTATTATTTGGCTCTATTGTATTTTCTGATTCCTCTCATACCAGTTCTTCTTCTTCAATGGTTCTGCAGATCCTCCTTCAATTTTTGCCTTCTTTTCAACCGCTTTCCTCCATATTTACCTTCCAACCTTTTACGTAGCGTTCCCATCAGTCTCTTTCCATGCAGTTTACTGTTGCCCTGCTCACCTCAACCTTTGCAGCTTGCAGAATTCTATGAGAGGGGTTCTTTGTAGATTTGGAAAATTTTGTGATTGTACCTTATTTGCCATAAGTTGTTCCCTTTTGTTGGACCTAAAATTCTTCTCAATATCTTTCAAAGATAACCAACTGTGAGAAGTATGCTTTGTTAGCCAGCATCATTCTTCATCCATTGAGCCATTTTTAGATTTAGTTCCTAATTCGTGAAGTATTAAGTATACAGACTCCTTTGAATGGAGTCATACTTCTCTTCTTGACATGTACTATTTTTTGTACTACTTGTTTGCAGAAGTTTGTCAATGCCTGGTTCCTTCTGGCGGCTCCGACCTACGTTCAAACGATTTTCTTATAGCTTTCTCTTACTGTCATTTTAGTCAATTTAATACCATACTTGACTGTAATAGTAGAACTTTAGATTTGATTGTGGTTGGCGTCTTATATCTCTGATAGATGCCAGGCTGTAAAAATTAATAATGACATATCTAACTTTATTCCGGTCACTTCAGGAGTGCCTCATGGTAGTCACTTGGGTTCGGTTCTGTTTTTGGCTTATATAAACGATATTTATGAGTGCTTTCACCATAGTAATTTTTTACTATAGCTCATTTTTTTTTCTATAATACCTGCCAAATTGTTCTAAAGTTGGCAAAATTAACAGGGAGTTTTGTTTTATCATGTTTTGAAATAAATATGTCACACTGACGTTTGAACTTTCGTTATTCAAAAAGAAAAGGTGCATAAAAAATGTTGTGGGGTGTTTATTTGCCTAGAAAAGGTGTTTTGTTCTATTTAATTACTTTGTAGCACGTTTTTACAATAAATATGTACTTCGTTAAAATCGTATATCTAAAGATCTATTAGTATTTTAACCTCAACTATTTAGTTACTGAAAATGTTACTAAAAAT